ATCCCCTCTAGCGCTACCGAAATGCTTGCAAATTCCATCAATGAATTCAGCTATGATCCTGAAACTCGTCACACTTTCGAGGCGTTGTTCAAACGCTAGTAAGATGTGTTCCGAACAGATTTCAGTTGTCAGGATGATGCGTGGAAAGTGCGCCTACCGGTCCAAAAATGTGGAACTACTGAACACCCAAGATTTGTTGACCACATTCTTCCACAACAACCAAGGGATTTGAAATTAGACGAAGCGGTGGCACAATTATCAGAACTTGTTGGTGGGTCAGCTCCACTGTTCAGTATCCGATACGAGTGCCTGAAAATTATTAAACGGGATGGAGAGGATTATGGCATGCTTGCTGACAGAGTCAATCGTGAGTGTGAACGTTTCAAACTTCGTTCATTGACCGATAACCAACTCAAGTGCCTCATGTTCATCAGAGCACTACAGAATCTAGAAGATGCTGACATTCGTATCCGTTTATTATCCAGGCTTGATCAAGACCCGGATATGGACATGAAGTCTCTTATTACCGAATGCAAACGTCTTCCCTCCTTGAAACATGACACTGCTTTGGTCGAACAGAAGACTTCCATAGCTGACGTTCATGCAATGCATTGCCCAAAGAATCAGCCACTGATGAAAAACTTCAAATCCGTGAAAAGTGCTACCAGTAAACCACCCTCTGCATGCTGATCGTGTGGCGATTGGCATTTTGTACGCTTTTGTCCCGTCAAAAAGCACATCTGTCAGAAGTGCAACAAACGGGAGCACAAGGAAGAATGCTGCTCGTCAACCAAACACACTCAAAGCAGTCAGAAGAAGCCAGAAGCCAGACTATTCAATGCTTCCATCGCACACAACCAACTACCCACGGAATGCCTTTTGGCAACATTTATCCATATCCACAAGGGGGAGAGCGTAAGTCGTGCTGGAACTATCGCTCAGTCAGCCTGACATCGGCAGTACTGAAATTCATGGAGAGAGTACGGAGTAGAAGGATCGCTGAACACGAGGTAGCTGTAGGTGCATTCACGGCTGACCAACATGGGTTCAAGAGGAGGAAGTCGTGCTTATCAAATCTCTTCTGTTTTTTGATGAAGTAACTAAGAGGATCGACAGGGGAGAGGAAGTTGAGGTCTGCTACTTAGACTTCAAGAAATCGTTCGACTCCGTCATTTATAGGCTACTGCTGACGAAGTTGAAGGCTTTCGGGCTACCTCCAGGACTGCTAGAATGGATACGCAGATGCTCGATAGGTCGGAGGTTTGTTTTGAGGGTAGAAAATAGTACATCAAGCCAGGGACGAGTGCTTAGTGGAGTGCCACAAGACTCTGTTCTAGGTCCATTACTTTTTATGCTTTACATCGATGACCTCAGCACCAACCTAGAAAACCGCTGCGACAAGTTTGCAGATGTAAAAATCGTTGGGCAGTCCTCAACAGAGTCGGTGAAGAGGGATCTTGACAAAATACACGTGTGGTCAGCTAAATGAGACCCGACTCTGAATACTCCGAAATGTCAACAGCTGGTCAGAACTGGAGGCATGCAAAGTGGCAGGACACTGGGACCCCGGACCAGTTCCAACAGATCCCCACGGTAACCATAGCCAGAGACCTAGGTGTCCTTGTTAGTGCGGACTTCAAGCCTGGA